GTGAACAAGTCCTAAGTTCAGTTCACACTATAGAAACAGTTTAGATGTGTTCCTGATGCGTTTTTGCATGCCCTTTTGGCATGCATGTTTAATATGTTCCAGTACATTTTGGATGCGTTTTGGACACGCATTGCATTTTTGTATCCCTTCCAGTTAGTTTTTTCTACTTTCTATTTATTCAATTTAATTAGGGACATGTGCGTTTTAGTACATTCAAGGGCGTTTCAAATGCGTTCCAGTACAGTTCTGTGCAGAAACAATGCAGCGTGGTCAACTTTGTTTACAGCACCTGCAATGCTGAAAATGCAAGTGCTGAGGTGAACTATGACATTGTCAACCATATAACCTTCTTTCTGTGCGTTTGTGATGCCGAAAAAGCAACTGAAACACATGTAGTGTGAACTGCCCCTAAACGTTATTAGAGGTAAGGGAACGGGACTGACCAGGAATTGTGAATTCAATCAGACTAGTGGTGAGATACAATCAGCAATCATATAATAATGTGAGATCTGAGCTGTAGATGATAGAAAATGAGACACATTCACTTGATCAGTAAATAAATAGTTAGAAAGAGTGGGGCGTGATCCATAGATTTGCATATGGGACAGGTGATGATGGGGTGGGGGAGGGGGGTCAGGTTGTATAAGGAGATAGGTTTAAAAGAAGATAAAAAAAGTTACAATGAAATATACAAAGTATGAAACTTGCACATTTCCAACTTGTCAGAAGAACAGGACGCACACCCCCTTTCCACTTTCTAGTCATTACACAAAATCTTAATTGATTAATATTACTGGCACTGACACAACCCAGGAAATTGATCTCAATTTTTTTAACATTCATAATGTCTAAGGGCAGAAACTCAGCCATGTACTAGGCCCATTTAACCTAACAGCATGTCTTTGGAGTGTTGGCAGAAACACATCCATACAGGGAAAGCATGCAAACTGGGATGCAGCCATGGCTGGGACTAGAACCCATGACCCAAGTGCTGTAAATTCTGAGTTCTAACCACTAAGCCACCGTGGGAGACAGAGTTTGAGTTCCAATGCAGAATAGTTACATTGTTTAAAAATGATAAAGCGAGAGCTGGTCAAATTATATAGACTGCTAAAATGGTATTTCACAAGATAAATATAAATCTAGGTATAGATATGAAGGTAGCAGCTAGCACTCAGGGTATTGGCAACAGTCCCAGAATAGAAATATGTTAAAGTAATAGTGCAGAGCTATAAATGCATGTTATCAATCATAAATGCATGTAAAATCCAAAAAGTGCAATAATTTATTTATTTCAGGTACTTATATAGCGCTGTCAATTTACGCAGTGCTTTACATATCTAATAAACTTTATGCAGCTATAGACGCTGATGGGGAAATTGTATATTTCATATTTCCTTATTAATGTTGGCCTCACAAATGTTTAAGAATGCCTCCAAGCCTTGGTTAAAGGGCTATTCATATAGCCCTTGTCCTCCTGGACAAGGTCTGGTTACCTTAAATAACAAAGGAATATGACTATTTGGACAAACCAAGCCAGACCACTGCTCTCCTTTTTGTTTGCATGGGGGGGTGGGTTGTCGATTGCTTATACACAAGTCCAGTATATAACACACAGCTAGACAGGAAATATTGGGCTTGACAAAGAGCTTGCGTTAAGCATGCATCTGTTCTGATCATTGGCCACGCCATATAATGGAGGGACCCGTGGTGGAAATGGCAGCTTTTGTTAAATTTTCTTATTCGTTATCTGTATCTCTCATTACTTGTAATAAATGTTTTGCTTATAAGAATTTGTGTGATCTCTCTTTGCACAAATCAAATACAACCCCCCAAAACCCTAACAAAACAGATGCTACAGTTGTAAGAAAAAGTATGTGAACCCCTTGGGATTACGTGGAGTTTTGCATGAATTGGGCATAAAATGTGCTCTGAACGTCATCTAAGTCACAACAATAGAAGAACACAGTCTGCTGAACATAATACTACACAAACATTAGATGTTGCCATGGTTTAATTGCACATAACATGTAAACATTCCCAGTGCAGGGAGGAAAAAGTATGTGAACCTTTGGACTTAATAACTGGTTGACCCTCCTTTGACAGCAATAACCTCAACCAAACGTTTCCTGTAGTTGCAGATCAGACCTGCACAACGATCTGGAGTAATTTTGGACCACTCCTCTTCACAAAACTGTTTCAGTGTAGCAATATTCTTGGGATGTCTGGTGTGAATCGCTCTCTTAAGGTCATGCCACAGCATTTCAATCGGGTTGAGGTCAGGACTCTGACTGGGCCACTCCAGAAGGCGTATTCTGTGCTGTTGCAGCCATTGTTTTGTTGAATTACTTGCATGCTTTGGGTCATTGTCCTGTTGCATCACCCATCCTCTGCGGAGCTTCAGTTGGAGGACAGATGGTCATACGTTTTCCTGCAAAATGTCTTGATAAACTCTGGAATTTATTTTCCCATCAATGACAACAATCCGTCCAGGCCCTGAGGCAGCAAAGCAGCCCCAAACCATGATGCTCCCTCCGCCATGTTTTACAGTGGGGATAAGGTTTTGATGTTGGTGTGCTGTGCCTTTTTTTCTCCACACATAGTGTTGTGTGTTCTTCCCAAACAACTCAATCTTGGTTTCATCTGTCCACAGTATATTTTGCCAGTAGTGCTATGGAACATCCAGGTGCTCTTTTGCAAACTTCAAACGTGCTGCAATATTCTTTTTGGACAGCAATGGCTTCCTCCGTGGTGTCCTCCCATGTACTCCATTCTTGTTTAATGTTTTCCTTATTGTAGATGTGTCAACAAAAATGTTAGCATGTGCCAGAGATTTCTGTAGGTCTTTAGCTGACACTCTGGGATTCTTCTTTACCTCATGCAGCATTCTGCGCTGTGCTCTTGCAGTAATTTTTACAGGACGACCACGCCTAGGGAGAGTAGCAACAGTGCTAAACTTTCTCCATTTGTAGACAGTCTGTCTTACCGTGGACACATGAACATCAAGGCTTTTGGAGACACTTTCCTCTTCCAGCTTCATGCAAGTCAACAATTCTTGATCGTAGGTCTTCTGAGAGCTCTTTTCTGCGAGGCATGGTTCACATCAGACAGTGCTTCTTGAATCCAGTAAACCCAAAACAGGTGTGTGTTTTTTAAGGGTAGGACAGCTGTCAGCAACACATCCAATATCATCACACTGATTGGAGTCAAGGTTGGCTCACTCCTGGCTCCAATTAGCTCTGGGAGAAGTCATTAAGCTAGGGCCCACATACTTTTAGCTCCCTGCACTGTGAATGTTTACATGTTATGTGCAATTAAACCATGGCAACATCTAATGTTTGTGTAGTATTATGTTCAACAGACTGTGTTCTTCTATTGTTGTGACTTAGATGACGTTCAGAGCACATTTTATGCCCAATTCATGCAAAACTCCACGTAATCCCAAGGGGTTCACATACTTTTTCTTGCAACTGTATATTGTACATTCACATTAGTCCCTAACCCTCAAGGGGCGTACAATCTAAGGTCCCTAACTCACATTCATACATACACATACTAGGGCCAATTTGGACAGGAATCAATTCACCTACCAGCATGTCTTAGGAGTGTGGGAGGAAACTGGAGTACTCGGAGGAAACCCACGCAAGCACAGGGAGAACATGCAAACTCCATGCAGGAGGACATTCCATTATTCAGGAAGGATTATCTGAACTTATTTTAGCACCATTTACCATTTTACATCATTATTGCAATTATTTTCACTTTTTGGATTTTACATGCATTCATTATTGATCACATGCATTTATAGCACTGCACTATGACTTTAACATAGAATAGTTACATGATTAAAGAGAAGGAAGCTATATCATTATATTGGGAACTTAGAACTAGACATTCAAAATTATTTGAGATAAGTGTGAAAATGTTTATTATTTGAAAATAGAATGTATGACATTCATTAGTAAATGCATTAGTTGTCTGATCATTTTGGAGAAACAGCAAAAAAAAAAAAAAAAAATTATAATATAGGTTTACTTTTTATTTTACATTTTAAGTATTCTCATATGCAAACATAAAAAAGCCAACAGGACAAAGCACGCGCTTGTGCGCCACCTAGCAAACATATCTGGTATTGCACCTAAAAATGTGCCAGGCGCGATTCCACATTTACTAAACAGAAAAGTAGACGCTTTTCAATGAGATTGCTAGACGCCTCTCAGAAGACTGGCAGGTCTTAATTGAGTCTGCCTGAATGTTCAGAGTCTGCTGGTAGACTCAATTCTTAGTAAATCAGGGCCTATACATTTTTTTCACTTTAGAATTTTTTTGTACCTGGAGAGATCTTTCTGTGTCTCTGTTGTCTAGAAGATGCAGCAAGTGGTCAATATAAACATCTATGAAAAGATCCTTTGGAATTGGATAAAACTGCCCCCAGTCTTCACATAACTTATAATCCTATAAAAGAAAATTAGACATGGCTTTAAACAAAAACCAGAATTTAAACAAAAGTTTATTTAATAATGGTAGAATGAAATATCTTGCTGCAGCAAAATAAAAAAATAAATCCCAAATGGAAGCAGGTTCATAGTAAACACATTTTAAACATACAGTTACTTTTAGTTTACAGTGACCCTTCCCACCGACCGTACGCATATATGTGGCAGCAAGGACATGGGTCTTATTCCATGATGCCACACATAAGCAGTCAGTAGGTAGTGGTTAATTAAGAACGCAGGTCCACAGTCTGGCAAAGCTTTAAAAACAAGCAATAAACACAATGTAAAAAACATACATTAGATAAAGTATACTTGGCACTTGATACTGCTATTATTGACTTCATCCCTCATATATAAAACAAGGCCTAAATAGGAAAAGGGGATCTTGATACTCCCCATAAAATATTTTCTTCATTATTTCCTCAGGGGAGGACAGTCTTCAACACTTGTATACAGGTCCTACCACTAGTAGGTTAAACATTAGGCAAAACCAAAGAACAATCCTGTCAGGAATGGACTCAGCACTGGTGGTGGGACTCACCTGCCGTGTGGGCTGCAGTACCAGGGCTGACCAGCGGGTGCTCTCAGCAGCCAGAAGCTCACTCCTGTAGTTAGCCAACACCTGGGCTGATTGCAGGAGGTGTATTTAAGGAATGACCAGGCCTGTGATCAGGGCCTTGGTGTATGTTTCCCATGAGCCCCTGCACCTGGTATCCTGTGTTCCTGCCTCGTTGCTGACCCTGCTTGATCCTGACCTCTGCTGACCGTCTCCTGTTGAACCCCTGGCTTGCCTGACCATCCTTCTGTCTGATCCTCAGTACCGCGCTGCCCGCTACCTGCTGAACCTGGCTTGTGACCCCGACCATTCTCTGCTTGCTCCTCCTGTACCACGCTGCCCGCACGATACCGACCCGGCCTGTCTGACTACGCTTACTTCACCCGACGATCCATCCAGCACAGATCACCTCTAGTAAGTCTGCCTGCCTCTTCCCATCAGACTCCGTTCCTGCACCCCAGTGCTAGTACTCTCTACCACAGCCGGACGCACTCAGGGGTCGCGACCTGGTTCCAGTCTGCACCAAGTCCATCCCCACCATCAGGGGCCCTGGTGAATAGCAGGCTGGGACTTAGACCCCGCACCCTGAGGAAATCCATGCTGTGGACTCGGCCTGACTGACCGCTCCACCTCTCCAGCCCTGACTGCACTGGTACCTATTAGTTTAAGGTTTATTGCACATGGTTGTACATATTTATGTAAGTGTTGAGTTTGATTGTTTGCACTGCGTTTATGTTTGTGTCGTCTTTAATAAATTATATTGTGTTACACGCTATACCTGAAGTCTGTGTTTCCCTGTGTCGGTCCACACACCTCTGGTCATACCTGGAGCCCTGACAAATCCCTATCTAGTGGCTATACCTTTGCATATTGTAAACTAGTAGCAAGTAGTAATCTATGCCAGATTAGAGAAAGCTTAGAATTCAAGCACCTTAAAAGTATTCTGGGGGTAAAGTCATTACAAACCCTTGCATATACCCAGTGAAGTGACTGGCCTCAGGTGATGCACAGAAATTAAACAAATCCTCCTACATAAGTTGTACCTGTTTATCTGTTGGACTGTCCCCTACATCCAAAGTGCAGAAATTACACAGGATCTCTCAGCTCTGAAAAGCAGAAGGCGGGAAGCTGAAGTTACACTCAGTGAGGAGAGTCGAGTGCTGATTGGAAGGAAGGGACACACCTCCTTAACACAGCACACAGGAACAGAGCTGAGGTTGTCAATTACAGGCTGTGCCCTCCCCTTCACCTTTTTTCTCTTAGTGTCAGGAAAACTTGACAGAAGTGATTCATGCTGATAGCACAGGAACAAGGCAGCAGACAAAAATGCCCCTTAGTGCTCTGGATGGACACAAGTACACACCATAGAAGGATATGCTTTGTTCATATTTATGTAAATAAAAACAAACAATCACTTCAAGACATGGTTTAACTATTTGAAAAAGCCTTTTAAGGTCCAGCAGTATCCTTTATGAGGAGAGATGAGCTGAAGTGTATTTGGACAAAAGTCAAAATCCGCCTGAGCTATCCCCCCAGCAGCCTATCTAAGCTGACAGCCAATCATAAACAGCTGAAGCATTACCTGCCCCCACAGCCGTACGTATACATGTCCCTTGTATGCGTGCAGCTGTGGGACAATTGCTTCTGCCACCTATGAATGGCTATCGGCTTTGACTTATGTCTAGACACGGCCAAGCTCATCCCTAATAATGATCTCTTAGCATGGTAGACTGACTGCCACAAAGAGTTTTTGATCTCTTAAAACATAGTGTCAGGAATGGACTCGCCAATAGTGGTGGGACTCACCTGCCTTGTGGGCTGCAGTACCAGGGCTGGCCAGCGGGTGCTCTCAGCAACCAGAGGCTCACTCCTACAATGAGCCATCACCTGAAGCTGATTACAACAGGTGTATTTAAGGAATGGCCAGGCCTGTGATCAGGGCCTTGGTGTATGTTTCCCAAGAGCCCCTGTACCTGCATCTTGTCTGCTTCCTGTCTGATCCTGCTTGATCCCTGACTCTGATTGAACTCTTCCTGTCCTGACCTCTGCTATTCCTGACCACTCTCCAGTCTGCTCCTTTGGTACCTTGTCTGCCTGATTGTTCCTGACCCGGCCCATCTGACTAGACTCTGCCTGCTCCTTTGTACCTTGCCTGCCCCTTTGCTACCGACCCCGCCTGGCCGACTACGCTTAGTATTGTTCTTTTGTTATCTGTTGGGGGTTTGGTTTGTTTGCCCTGTGTTTATGTTTAGTCTTGCATTGCGTTTATGTATTGTTTAGTCTTAAATAAATGATATTGTTTATACTATATCTCAGTGATGGCGAACCTATGGCACGCGTGCCAGAGCTGGCACGCAGAGCCATCTCAGTGGGCACGCCAGGAAGAAGAGCATGATGAGCGCGCATGGACCGGCCATCCAGATCTCGTCCACACTGGATCCCCATCAAACTACATTTCCCACATGTCTCTGGGGCCAGGGTGGGCGTGAGGAAACGGCTCCAATGCGGCTCTGGCACCAGGGGTGATGTACCCGGGGATTGGCGCGGAAGAGAGGAAGAGGCTCCCACACTGCTCCGGGGCCAGGGGCAACGTGTTCAGAGTGGATGGGAATGAGCTGCTGGGTTGGAAGCCACACCGACGCTGCCAGAGGTGAGATTAACTGCTTGCAGTGTCGCCTGTCAGTGCCCAGCAGTGTCGCCTGTCAGTGCCCAGCAGTGTTGCCCATCAGTGCCATCCATCAATGATGCCCAGCAGTGCCATCCATTAGTGCCCAGCAGTGTCGCCTGTCAGTGCTGCCCAGCAGTGCCACATGTCAGTGCCCAGCAGTGTCGCCCATCAGTGCCACCCATCAATGATGCCCAGCAGTGCCACCCATCAGTGCCCAGCAGTGTCACCCATCAGTGCCCAGCAGTGTCGCCTGTCAGTGCTGCCCAGCAGTGCCACATGTCAGTGCCCAGCAGTGTCGCCCATCAGTGCCACCCATCAATGATGCCCAGCAGTGTAATCCATCAGTGCCCAGCAGTGTCACCCATCAGTGCCCAGCAGTGTCGCCTGTCAGTGCTGCCCAGCAGTGCCACCTGTCAGTGCTGCCCAGCAGTGCCACCTGTCAGTGCTGCCCAGCAGTGCCACCTGTCAGTGCTGCCCAGCAGTGCCACCTGTCAGTGCTGCCCAGCAGTGCCACCTGTCAGTGCTGCCCAGCAGTGCCACCTGTCAGTGCTGCCCAGCAGTGTCGCCCATCAGTGCTGCCCATCAGTGCGACCCATCAATGATGCCCAGCAGTGCCACTGATCAGTGCCGTCTGTCAGTGCATCCAGGAAGGCAAGTGGTTAATTGCAGTGTTGGCACTTTGAAATAAAAAAGTTGGTTTGTGTTGCAGTTTTGGGCACTCGGGCTCAAAAAGGTTTGCCATCACTGCTATATCTGAAGCCTGCGTTTCCCTGTGTCAGTCCACACACCTCTGGTCATACCCGGAGCCCTGACACATGGTCTTCAATGCCAGTAGCAAGCAAATGAGATGCTTAATCAGTGCCACTTCGTAATGACCCAGTGTCACTAGACCAGCTAGAAAACAACTGGAATAATGCAATGTATTTAAGGTTTAAAAAAAAAGGTGAAAATTGAAAAATTAGAATATTGTGCAAAAGTTCATTTATTTCAGTAATGCAACTTAAAAGGTGAAACTAATATATGAGATAGACTCATTACATACAAAGCAAGATAGTTCAAGCCGTGATTTGTCATAATTGTGATGATTATGGCTTACAGCTCATGAAAACCCCAGATCCACAATCTCAGAAAATTAGAACAATATTCTAGGCTCAAAGTGCCCCACTCTAATCGGCTCATTAAGCCATAACACCTGCAAAGGGTTCCTGAGCCTTTAAATGGTCTCTCAGTCTGGTTCAGTAGGAATCACAATCATGGGAAAAACTGCTGACCTGACAGTTGTGCAGAAAACCATCATTGACACCGTCCATAAGGAGGGAAAGCCTCAAAAGATAATTGCAAAAGAAGTTGGATGTTCCCAAAGTACTGTATCAAAGCACATTAGTAGAAAGTTATGTGGAAGGGAAAAGTGTGGAAGAAAAAGGTGCACAAGGAGCAGGGATGACCGCAACTTGAAGAGGATTGTCAGGAAAAGGCCATTCATGTTGGGGACTTTCACAAGGAGTGGACTGAGGCTGGAGTCAGTGCATCAAGAGCCACCACACACAGACGGAATGTGGACATGGGCTTCAAATGTTGTATTCCTCTTGTCAAGCCACTCCTGAACAACAATCGTTGTCAGAAGCGTCTTACCTGGGCTAAAGAAAAACAGACCTGGTCTGTTGCTCAGTGGTCCAAAGTCCTCTTTTCTGATGAGAGCAACTTTTGCATCTCATTTGGAAACCAAGGACCCAGAGTATGGAGGAAGAATGGAGAGGCACACACTGCAAGATGCTTGAAATCCAGTGTGAAGTTTCCACAGTCTGTGTTGATTTGGGGAGCCATGTCATCTGCTGGTGTTGGTCCACTGTGCTTCATTAAGTCCAACGCAGCCATCTACCAGGAGATTTTGGAGCACTTCATGCTTCCTTCCGCAGATGAGGTTTATGGGGATGCTGTCTTCATTTTCCAGCAGGACATGGCACCTGCCCACACTGCCAAAAGCACCAAAACCTGGTTCAATGACCATGGGATTACTGTGCTTAATTAGCCAGCAAACTCGCCTGACCTGAGCCCCATAGAGAATCTATGGGGCATTGCCAAGAGAAAGATGAGAGACATGAGACCGAACAATGCAGAAGAGCTGAAGGCCGCTATTGAAGCATCCTGGTCTTCCATAACACCTCAGCAGTGCCACAGGCTGATAGCTTCCATGCCACGCCGCATTGAGGCAGTAATTGCTGCAAAAGTGGCCCAAACCAAGTACTGAGTACATATGCATGCTTATACTTTTCAGAGGTCCGATATTGTTCTATGTACAACCCTTGTTTTATTGATTGCATGTAATATTCTAATTTTCTGAGATTGTGTATTTGGGGTTTTCATTAGCTGTAAGCCATAATGAACACAATTTTGACAAATCACGGCTTGAACTATCTTGCTTTGCATGTAATGAGTCTATCTCATATATTAGTTTTTTTTAAGTTGCATTACTGAAATAAATGAACTTTTGCACAATATTCTAATTTTTCGAGTTTCACCTGTAGGTGCAGAGGGGTTGAGTTGGAGATCCTGCCATGAGGTTCTCTGTGCCATTACTTCCTGTTATAAGCCAACAATGCTTTGTCCCTGTCAATTACTTTCTTCTGTCAAAAGACTGTCAAATTGCCCTGGGTTAGACTGTAAAAAACCGATCCAATCAACATATTTTGCAGGTATGGTCCACTGAAGTCACCATTGGATAACCCTCTATGGTAAAATACGTGCTGCCAGTTTTTGCCTTGGTTCACACTATGAACCACATGTGAATCGCAAAGGAAACACACAGCATTCCTGTGCATTCACATGTGATTCAATGTAGTACGATTTGAGCACATTAATTTTGAATGAGCTCAAATTGCCTGTATCGCAACAAAGAAGTTACTTGCACCAAATTTGGAACCTCACCACAACTGGATCGCATGGTTGTTTTGTACCATGAGATCCGATGCAGGCAAATGCACATTGTTTGCTACATGCGTATGAAGTGTCGTTAACATTGCATTGACACCCGCTGCAGATCACAAGGACAGTGTGATTGGAATGCAATGCTGGAAATGCACATGGATAGTGGTGTTTCCGGCAGCACATGAGCATGACCCTAGGCTTAGAGTGCATGCATTTAGACAGGAAGAGGCTGAAAAGGCCCATAGGAGATCTTTGGTGCCAATTTGAAAATATGAATAAAAAGTGATAAAGAATTTTATTTACCCACTTGACCTAACAAAGGTCTTCATGCTATTTGGCACTGTTCTACTTTAACTGGCAATTGCTCGGTCATGAAACAATGTAACAAAATTAAATTTATATATTTCTTTTTTTTTTTTTTTTTTAACACAAAGCTTTGAATAAACCCCCCCCCCAAAAAAAAAAATAACCCCCAACCAAAAACTATACTTTATTTTTTCTGTTATAAAAACCACCGATCTAGTGGTTTTATGAAAAATCACGTTTCTCTACAAATTTAGGCCAAAATGTATTATTCTGCATGACTTTGGCAAACATAAATCACAATAACTGTATGTTAATTGGTTTGTGTGATGGTTAAAGTGTCTACAAACTAAAGTACATCTAATAAACTTTATGCAGCTATAGATGCTGATGGGGAAATTGTATATTTCATATTTCCTTATTAATGTTGGCCTCACAAATGTTTAAGAATGCCTCCAAGCCTTGGTTAAAGGGCTATTCCTATAGCCCTTGTCCTCCTGGACAAGGTCTGGTTACCTTAAATAACAAAGGAATATGACTATTTGGACAAACCAAGCCAGACCACTGCTCTCCTTTATGTTTGCATGGGGGGTGGGTTGTCGATTGCTTATACACAAGTCCAGTATATAACACACAGCTAGACAGGAAATACTGGGCTTGACAAAGAGCTTGCGTTAAGCATGCATCTGTTCTGATCATTGGCCACGCCATATAATGGAGGGACCCGTGGTGGAAATGGCAGCTTTTGTTAAATTTTCTTATTTGTTATCTGTATCTCTCATTACTTGTAATAAATGTTTTGCTTATAAGAATTTGTGTGATCTCTCTTTGCACAAATCAAATACAACCCCCAAAACCCTAACAAAACAGATGCTACAGTTATAAGAAAAAGTATGTGAACCCCTTGGGATTACGTGGAGTTTTGCATGAATTGGGCATAAAATGTGCTCTGAACGTCATCTAAGTCACAACAATAGAAGAACACAGTCTGCTGAACATAATACTACACAAACATTAGATGTTGCCATGGTTTCATTGCACATAACATGTAAACATTCACAGTGCAGGGAAGAAAAAGTATGTGAGGCCCTAGCTTAATGACTTCTCCCAGAGCTAATTGGAGCCAGGAG